ATTAAAATGCAGTGGTTGCCTCTAATTTTAAATGGAAAGAACACAGACAAAGCCTTAGTTTGTTTATATGAAGAGATTTATTTATTTGTGTTACTTATTTATTTGATTTGGGGCTTGTTTTAAAATTTCAATTTAGGTTTGTTATTTACATTTACATTATATTTCAATTTAGTCATTTAGCAGACGCTTTTGTCCAAAGCGACTTACAAATGAGGACAATAGAAGCAATCAAAACCAACAAAAGAGCAATAATATGCAAGTGCTATAATAGTATATTATTATAGTATTATATTTCAATTTCACAAAGAAATGTGCAGCATTTTCTCCAAGCAATAATAAAAGGACACATTTAATTTATAATTTGTCTTAAATCTCATTTTGTAAAAAAAATAAATCGTGAATCAAATCGAATCATGTGTTGAGTGAATCGTTACATCCCTAGTATATACGGTATATGTGACCTTGGAGTACAAAACCAGTCATAGGTCAATTTTTTGGAATTGAGATTTATACATAATCTGAAAGCTGAATAAATGCGCTTTCCATTGATGTATGGTTTGTTAGGATCGGACAATATTTGGCTGAGATACAACTATTTGAAAATCTGGAATCTGAGGGTGCAAAAAAATCTAAATATTGAGAAAATCATCTTTAAAGTTGTTCAAATTAAGTTCTTAGCAATGCATATTACTAATCAAAAATTAAGTTTTGATATATTTACGGTAGGAAATTTACTAAATATCTTCATGGAACATGATCTTTACTTGATATCCTAATGATTTTTGGCATAAAAGAAAAATTAATAATTTGGACCCAAACAATGTATTGTTGGCTATTGCTACAAATATACCCCAGCGACTTAAGACTGCTTTTGTGCTCCAGGGACACATATAGCAAACACTTCATATCATTATGTAGGAAGTTTAATTCAGCAGGTGGCCTCCAGTTAACTTCTAAATAAACAAATTTTTTTTGCATTTTTAATGCAGTTTTGGTTCCCTTGACAAAAAACTTTATTCCATTGGCTTGAATTATTTCAGAAAATAAGCCCAATGACTAACAGAAGATTAGCATGCATATAGGAAACATGTGATCTCATTATGTTGCATGTGTAATTCAGCATTTGGCATCCAAGTATCTTTCAAATAAAACCTCTATTTTGCAATTTGAACACTGTTTGTTCCCTCAACTAATATGATTTTCCACTGGCTTTTGGATTAGACTCCTTGGGGATTCAAGACAAGTTTTGTCTTTAAAGGTCAAGTGCATTGCATTGTGGGATTCCATGTTGGTACTTCATGCATACGAATAATTCACATACTGTGTCCAGTAAACATATTGCAGTAGTAGTATGAATAGTATGCTTGTATCTCTTCTAAGCACGAGTCAGAAAACGGGATCAACATAATGCAGTTGTTGCACCACTGAGCTCTAAGTGTGTTTGTGTACCACTGACTCTATGCAACAGTAATGTTTGTTTTCATTGAGAGGAGCGTGAGGAGGAAACAGCATCTCGTTCTCCAGTGAATCAGTAAAATCTCCACCGCATCACATCAGACTGACATTATTGAGCTGCTCGTGTGTTGGACTGCATTGAGATATAACGTGTTTGCATTGATTTGTGCCTTACATAAGAGACCAGAGGTCAGAGGTGATGATGCTGACACTAACTCGTAACCTGTCCTGGATGTTCCCGTGCATCTCGATGGCAGTTCACACAGGTTTCTTTGACTTGTAAATGTCATGTGATTGATCAGTGTATGTTAGAAATCACTGCAGAAGACAGAAAATGTCTCTAATGCTTTTACGAGCCTCCAAAAGTATTGGTGGCTGCTGAAGCTTTTACTTGAATATAATGAAATATTCACACTTTGCTTGCAAAAAAAAAAACACGTCTCATCAGAAAATACTTTCAAAAGTAATTATTTTGTGGCCTGCAGGAACAGGATGTGATGTCATGCTTATTTGATTAAACTATAAATGATGAGGAATAACAAATGCTGTGCTCTCACACAGTAGGAAATGCTGAAGGTTTTATTCTTCTAAACTTTTGATGCGAAACAACCTAAACGAAACTCCATGATTGATTTTTAGATCATTTACTATGGAAGACAATTTGGACTTGTTGATATCTAGCCATTCAGACTTTTTTCCTTTCATTTTCTGAGTTTATATCTCACACGTGTATTTTTGTTTCTGCCTCAGATTAAAAAATAAAAATTGCCATTTTTTTATTGCACAATTCTGACTTTTTCTCTGAATTGTGAGACAAAAATACAAGTTCCTTTTTTTATTTTGTGGCAGAAACAGACTTCCATACATTTACAAAAATCTTTTCACTGCCTAAAATCAGAGGTCAACAAGAGGTCAATTTCACATTTGTATGCCAGCAGTCCTGCATTTGTGTGTGTGTGTGTGTGAGAATGGAACAGTGACAAACCCCGCCTCCTCTGACAGTAGCTCCGCCCACCTGTTCAACGGCGGCTGTGATTGGTGCAGCCTGAGGGTTTGTATCACAGAACATTTCGCATTTGTTTAATAAAAGCAGTACATTCTGTGAGGTGACTGAATTTGTGTGATTGTTATTGTGTAATCTGAATGAAAAAACTGATCATTAATAATAAACACTGGCACAGTTAAAACGCTCTCATTGTGTACTTATATGATGCTAATGTACAAAATGCTATGTCAATGTGTGTTTTTCAGTAGAGCACATGATCTCTTCAGATTCAACGGGTGATTAAATGTTAGCTGCAGTCATTAGTGAGTATCTGACTTTATTCTCTTTCATAACATCATCAGTAAAGACGTGCAGTAATTTCTACTGCGAGCACAGACAGAAGCAAACAGGTATAATTCAGCGTCGTCTATGTGAAGACCATGAGTTAGTTTTATTCTGTTGATCAGTTCTGCATCACACACACTTTAATGCATTTAAAACAAACTCAACCTGAATATAAACAACTTACACTTAATAAATCATGAAATCCTCAAACTAGATATCAATAAAATTTAAAGAAAAGTTTGATTAGCACTTCTGTTCAATAACCATTGACTTTCACTGCAGTTGACGGTCATTTATAAGCGTTCGCTTTGTGTTTGGGCAGAAAACTGAAGTTTTTAGGTACGGGACCCAACAGCATCTCACTGCAGAGGAAACAAGAGAAAATAACAATTTATAAATATGTGACCCTGGAGCACAAAAGCAGTCTTAAGTCGCTGGGGTATATTTGTAGCAATAGCCAACAATACATTGTATGGGTCAAAATTATAGATTTTTCTTTAATGCCAAAAATCATTAGGATATTAAGTAAAGATCATGTTCCATGAAGATATTTAGTAAATTTCCTACCGTAAATATATCAAAACTTACTTTTCCACGACATTCTAATTTATTGAGATGCACCTGTAGACATTAGTGAATAATAAAGGATTAAATTTGATTTCTGAAACAAAACACATAAGCAAAAGCATAATATGAAACAAAAAATACATAGACGTGTATTAATAAATTTAACAACATTAGACTGTAACTGAAAATGAGTCGGCCAGAGCTAATGTAAAAGCTACTAACTGGATCTGTCTGCTCAATGTTTTAAGCAACAGATCTGGATCTTTTTATTGCACGCCTTAAATGTTCTGCTTTCGGTCATAAAGACATTGTAAACTGACCTGATTTGGATCCAGTCGTCCACGTGTTGGCTTGCCATCAGAGACTCCATGTAATCTCGTCCCATGTAGAACGGAGGACGCTCGTTGATCTTCTGCGGGACGCGCTCCAACAAACCCACCGGAATATACCTGAACATAATGCACAAATTACACAATTATAAAGAGTTTCTCAGCCTGTGAAAGAAATATCAAATATACTGATAACACTTTACAGTAAGATCCCATTAGTTAACAATGAGCAATATATGTTAGTGTTTATTAATTATTGTTAATGTTAGTTAATCTATAGCTATATAACAGACACAACAGGGTTCCCACTCTTTTTCAGTGATCCTTTTCCAGGACATTTTTATTTAATTACGGCGGGAATAAAAGACAAGGATCATGCCCTAAAATAACATTCCTCTCTTCAGAAGTCTTTAAAAACATTCAGTTTATGGCCGGGATTTAACTATAAAATCAGATCTTTAATACGAGCTCTTAATTATACATTACAACAAATGATTTTCAGAACCAATTTCAGTTCCATAGCAACAAAAAAAAAGAAAGCGTTTAACTATTTGAAAAATAAAAATGAATTAAGTAATGCTAATAATAGTATTAAAGAAAATATGTTAAAATACTGGCGCGTATCCTTCAAATTAGGGATGCACGATATTGGATTTTTGCCGATATTTTTCAACTAATTTTGGCCGATAGCCGATACCGATATATTTATTTTGTTTGGAAACAACACCAAGTCTCTCCTGTGCAGAAATCATAAGCAAATAATTTTTCATTTTGGTTAGTTTTTAAAAAGAACTTATTTGTTAGAATTAAATAAATAATAATGAAGTTCTTTTATAATGACAGTACATTGAAGATTTGAAAATAACTATAAATAAACTATATTCAATCGCTGCATTTTTTTGTATTTTTTCCAGAAAGATGCAGTTGTAACCTTAACATTTTATTTTAAGATTTAACATTTTTTAATGGTCTGAAGCAAAAGAGTTGTAAAAATTCTGAAAATCTTTTAGAGCTCATAATTTGTTTAAAAAATATAACATATTACACATTAATGAATAAATCAGTATATATAAAATTATTTAAGTGTCATGTTTGTGATTTTTTTTTTTGTTCATGTAAGCTATAGCTTCTGACCTTTAAATCAAAACATACTCATGATTTTATGACATCAACTACTGCTTTATTTAATCAGAAACAGTCTAAATATTATTTGTGTATTTTGCTTTCATTTTATTAGAAGTAGGCCAACAGCGCCCCCTACAGAATTAAAACTACTTACTGAATGGGCTTTAGGACCCGGGGGAGGCTGCCGCTGCGCGTGCTATTACGGTTTACTCTATCTCACACCGAACACATTCTGTACTGCATTCTCAGATTAAATGCAGCAATCCAAAACAGTGAATCTAATCATCACAGACAAAACTTCGCTTCAAGAATGAGCCACACTGATCTACACATGATCTAATCGCTAGCACACCCTGAGCACATGCGAGTTAGCGTATTCCTCTTATCGGCAAGACATATCGGCATAATTTTTCATATCGGGCCGATGCCGATATTTACATTTAAAGCTATTATCGGCTGATTCCGATATTGGTCCGATAATATCATGCATCCCTAAATATAATTCATATATATATAAACGGGTCAAGTGAAAAATGAGTGGATTCTGACTTGAACACCTCTGATTGGCCACTGCATATCACTGTTCACAGAAAGCGATATAAATCTGCACAGAAGCGTTTAAAAGCAGCGCCGATCACCGAGTACTGATGTACTTTTTTTACAATTTCAGTATCAACTTGGTACAGAAGTACTAATAGCCTACTTGTGACAATAATCTAAATTATTAGTTAACAAGTTACTGAACTACTGTTAACAAAGCTGCTTTCCAGTTTACTACACACATTCATCACAAGACTAACCAGCGTCATTCAAAACACTTCTCTTAAAGTTCACCACTGGATAGAGCGATGGCAAACACAACAATGTTCACACTGTCAAGAGTCAGTAGTGATGTAGCAATCTTCATTTTTCATGGCCGATTCCATTGTTTTACATGCAAATGAACCGATTCCAATACCAATTAGTTAATATTAATTTAATTTTTTTAAAAGCGAGAGAAGACGGAATGAAAATTTGAGTGCATAAGATGTTTTGTGCTCTTTTACAGGCCAAACTCTCTATGATGAGGCAACCACTGCATTTTAATCACGATCCAAACAAAGATGATGCATACATGAGCAGTTTCTGATTTAAATTAGATGTAACTTCAAAATCTGAAGCAAAAACAGAATGGTCTGACTATATCTTAACGAAAGTATTAGGGATGCACAGATACCACACTTTTCAAAATGAAGCCGATACTGATGCTTTTATTTTTGGTACTAGCCGATACAGAGTACCGATACCTGTATTTTCATGCCATTTGTAATTTTTTAAAATACTGGGTACAGTATGTTAGTTGGCTTGGTTGATTTAGCAAACAGATATTTCCTTTCCATTTTCACACTTAATTATGCCCATTAAAATATACTGTACAAGCTTTTTTTACTTTCACTGTTCATTTTATTGCTCCACGTAATGCTTTACAAATATTTTTCATTGTTAGATCATGTTACGTAGTTCAAAATTCAAAAACGAATGTAGTCAAAATTGTGAGAAAAAAGTCAGAACGGTGAGAAAGAAATTCAGAATTGTGAGATTTAAAAAAAAAAATGTTAGAAAAACGTTAGAATTGCGAGATATAAACTCGAAATTCTGAGATGAAAAATCGGAATTTTGATATATAAATTTAAAAGCGCGAGAAAAAGAGTCAAATCTACGGGAAAAAAGTCTGAATAGAGCTGAGGAACTGTGACGTCCGAATCCGGAAGAGTAATTCGCCGCGGGTTCCTTAGAGATTTTCCTATGCGGTTTTATAATGGGGTTTTCCAATTAATGAGTAAAATAACGCCTGTGGTAAACATAACTTGACCATACTTTTACATTTTGTTCTACAACGTAAATTACATGCATCCTTACCTAAAACACGACTTTTGAACCAGTTATTCATTTTTGAAAACTATGTTTTTAATAACTAGATAAGAACGTTTGGGCTGTGAGTGTGTGCAGTTCACATTGTAGAACAGAACATCAAAGTATCATCAAGTTATGTTTACCACAGGCTTTTTTAAAAATTCCACATAAACTGAAAAACCCCATTATAAAACCCTATAGGAAAATATCGAAGGGGACGTCATAGTTAAGTTTGAACGTCATGAGGGCGAGTAAATGATCAGAGAATATTCATTTCTGTGTGAACTATCCCTAATAAACTCATCACCTGCACAGGAAGGAGAGCCACTCCAACAGGAAGCTGCGTGTCTTCTCGACGCCCTGCGTGTCGGAGCCCCAGTGCTCGAGGCCGTAGTTGGTGAAGTCGCGCAGGATGTCCAGACGCTCTCCGGAGGAAATGTCCCAGTGTCTGTTCTCCTTGATCTCAGTGAAGAGCCACGGCTTGATCAGCGCACCCCTGCAAACAGGAAGTAATTCATTCAGAGCCGCCACGCATGATGATGATGATGATGATGATGCTGTCAGACTGACCTGGCCACCATGATCCCAGACACTCCAGTCTCTCTGGCCTTCATAGCGTCTTCATACGACAGGATATCTCCGTTACCTGCACGAAACACAGCAGCACTGTCACATGTTTTGCAGTGGAATATCTGCATCTTCTGCCTGCGTCAGTGTATTTACCGAACAGTGGTACGGGAGTGGCCAGTTTTGAGCAGGTGTCGATGTATTCCCAGTCAGCCGACTTCGTGTAACGCTGTTCACGTGATCTGCCGTGCAACTGCAGAAACAAACCGACTCAATGAAGCTTCACGATCAAGGTGAGTAAACGATGACAGAATAGTTTCTGCGGGTCTTAATTCGCGTTTTCACAAATTAAGGCCTTGAAAGGTCTTGAATCAGAACAGAAAGTCTTAAATTCATTGTCATGGTATTAAATGTCGCAAAAAATCAATAGCTTTCTAAATATTTTTACCGTGTTTTCCAGTACAATTCTGAGAGGAAAAAAATCGTAATTGTGAGATAAACTCACAAGTGTAAGAAAAAAGTCAGAACTGCGAGATATAAACGTAGAATTGCAAGAGAAAGTAAGAATTGCGAGAAAAAAAAAAAAGAGAGAATCGCGAGATAAAAAAACGGGAATTGCGAGATTAAAAAAACGGGAATTGCGAGATAAAAAAAGGAATTGCGAGAAAAAAAAAGGGAATTGCGAGAAAAAAAAGGAATTGCGCAACAAACTCGTGAGATATAAAGTCAAAATTGTGAGACGTAAATCAGAATTGTGAGAAAACAATTGGAATTGTGAGATGTAAATATAGAATTGCGAGAAAAAATGGGAATTGCGCAACAAACTCAGAATTGCGAGAAAAATGAGAATTGTGAGATAAAAATGTAGAATTGTGAGAAAAAATAGGAATTGCGCAACAAACTCAGAATTGAGAGATAAAAAAGGAATTGTGAGATATAAATTTAGAATTGCGTTTAAAAAAAAAAAAAGACTTCTTGCGTCCTTCTGCTTGTCAAGTAAATGTATTTTGATTTAAATTTCTAGACATTTGCACTGGAAAACAAGACAGAAATACTGAGTAAAGCATCCGTTTTTGTAGTTCAGTAAAAGTTATTTCAGTATTTTTTTGTAAAATGAACTAAAAAAAGTAACTGACACTTTCAAACTTTGAAATGTTGCTAATAGAAGACATTTACATAATGACGTATTGTGTCCCCTTCAATTTATTCCTTAAATCTTCTTTAAGACCAAGTAAATTTATCTCCATCAAACCTACAGAACCCCGGTGTCACGTTTGTACGAGCTGCTCGTTGACTGGACTGAACTCATCGTACCGTGATGAGCGAGACGCCCCACTTCTTCATCTCTGTGATCAGCTTGTGTGCGATGCTGCAGTTCTGCTGGACTCCGGTACGGATCTTAACCGTGAGAGGAACATCTAGCACCTGCGGATATACGACACGACAGTGCCGTGAGTGACACTTCACACTAGGGCTGGGTAAAAAATATAGATATCTCGATTTTAATCGATTCTCATTTTTACGGAACGATATCGATTCTTAAATCCCAGTAATCGATTAGTCTGTTTTCAGTTAATGGACGGAACATTGAAGCGCACCTCCCATCCAATAAATCGCAATAAGCATTGTGCTTTGGTACTTTTAATATGAAACAAAGTCTCAGATTTCAAATTCTGTCCATTGTATTGCAGAATTCAAACAATAAATACCGTTTTGGCGCTGTTTAATGTGGAGTGATCGCTGTAGCGCCTCAGTGAACTGATCATCTCCTCCGCTTTATTACTAGTTATAGCACAAAATAAACATGACTAAACATCCGAAGGCAAGTTAAAAGAAAGAGTACAACTTTACAATCCGTATCCTGTCTCATGTAATCGCTCAATCAGTGTTTCAGCCGCGCAAAGACGTCAATATAACAGCTTGTAAACAATGTCACGTAACGTCACATATACCTCAGAAAAACATATTCGGTGACCATAAACTCATTAGTCAGATAAAAAAATAAACTGTAGAGAGGGGCATTTTGCTAAATATATGCACCATATAACATATACATTATATTTTTAACTGTTCTTCAATGTTTAATTTATGTTTGAATAAATCTATCAAGTTTTTATGACAGCCACCATTATGTTTATATTTAAAAACACGAATTGAAGTAGAAATATTATGTAATTGTAACTTTATTATTTTAAAAACTTCATCAAGTGTAATTTTAGCAGTTGTATATTAGCTTACAAATCAGTCAATTTTAACCTTCAATATTATGGTAATGTAGTACCAACTGACTCTCATATATATTTTACAGCATTAGTTGAGAGATTTTTTTTCCTTGAGAAAATTTGGCATGTACTGTACCTGATATATATCCAAAATAATCAATATTGAATCGAATCACAAGCTTGTGAATGAGAATCGAATCGTGAAATCCAGCCCTACTTCACACCGACACACGCTTCAACACTGAGAAGTCACTTACAGAGTTCATTCCCTTCACGATCTGTTCAAATTTGCTGGTTCGTGTCATGAGGCCACACCCTCCACCCTGAAGACACAGAAATCAGTCAATCGCTGCTTAAATAGTAATACAAAACTGGTAAAAATGGGCAAAATTGACCACTGATTCGCCAAAAAATTAACACTAAAGAGTGATGTAAAAACACAAAACCTCTACTGTAGCAGAGTAAATAATACAACCCTTTATAGACTTTAAAGCCCTAAAGGAATCTCAAAAAGCAGCTAAATGGCCTCGCAGCCTCGTTTTCTGCAGATCACCTTCTTGTAAACGAGGTCGATGGGGCAGCCAGAGTTTATATCCACAAAATCCACATCGATGTTTTGATTGAGCAGCTCGGCACATCGGGTCATGGTGTCTGGAAAACAGCCTTCCAACTGCAGCGATCATGAGCAAAAAGCATAAACATAAGGTTAATTAATAGTGATAAAGTATCAACCCATGGACACAGTTTGGCGTTATGAGCCTCGAAACTAGTGCTGCACGAGTCATTGAAAGAAAACCGAAATCACAGTGTAATTATCAAACTGCAAAGGCTGCCGTTTAATTAATTCATTGGATTTTAAACCTTCCTGTAATGAGAATAAACAAATAAATAAAATAAATCACATCTGGTTGATTCGCATTGTGGGATGGAAGTCAATAATGCATCAAGGAGTTAAAATAAAATAGAATAGTATGGAATAAAAATAATGGAATAAAATTAATTTGTGATATCACATTGTGGTGTGCTAAAATCAATAATGCATAGAGGAGAAATAAATAAATTAATTAATTTAATTAAATTTGAGATATCACATCTGGTTTATTTGTATCGGGACTGCAAATTAATAAATGCATTGAGGAGTAAATAATATATTAATAAAGTAATTATTTAAAAAAAATATTCATAACAAAATTATAAATTAATTATTCATTTAAAAAATAAAATAAAAAATATTTTTGCTTTATTTTACAGTGAAATACTACAATAGTAATATTACTTTTGCTTTTTAGTAATAATTATAATAATAGTAATAATTATTATTATTTTATATCCATATTGATACAGTATATAATCAGCCCTACAAACAAACACAGCAAAACTGGGACTTCTTTTGCAAATCCCATTTTAAATCACAATTTTTATTAGAAAAATCTATTTTTTTCCTCTTAAAATCTTGCAGCTATAATTTCTTACTCCAGTAGTTCCAGCATGAACTAGCATAGACAACAGAGCTTTTCATCTGAATCCTCATCACAGCAGTCACAACAGAATCGGACCGTCACTTCATCTGATGAATCGTTCTCGTACCTGAACGCCGAACAGATCTTCAGAGGCGTGTCTCTTGAGCAGAGCCCATTCAGACGTCTGACCCTGCAGCAGGTTTGTGCACATGGCCATCTCTCCACACGTGATATCTGCTCCGAACCGCTTGCACACGCGCCGGAACGGCAGATTCCCACACTGCACCACAAACACCGGATGAGCTGCGGAAGCACGCTTCTCACTGACCGTAAATATAAGAGTAACACTGAGAGTTTACCGTAGTGAGAGGAGCCAGATAGAGCTTGTCTCTGAAGTCCACCTGAGAGTTAAGAATCAAAGACAAATGAAGCTTCAGATACATTTCAGAATGAAATACTAGTGATGTGAAAAATGTTGAACAATAATGCATTGAGGAGGAGGGGAAAAAAACTAATTATTAATACATTTGTGATATCACATCCAGTGGATTTGCATTGTGTGATACAAATCAATAATGCACTGATGTGTAAATAAATAAATAAATACAAATTTGTGCTATTATATCTACTGCAAGATGCAAATCAATAATGCATAGAGTAATAATAATAATTAAAAAAAAAATTTGTGACATCACATTACATTGAGGATTAATAAATAAATAAAAACTGAACTTGTAATATCACTTCCGGTTGATTTGCATGAAAATCAATAATGCACTGAGGAGTAAAAAATGAATAAAATAAAAACTACATTTGTGATATCACAAATCAACAGTGCATCGAGGAGTAAAAAAATTAAACTTCAATAAGAAATAAGAAAGTCAATACGAGTAGCTAGCAGTGTGTTATTCCAGACACACCTGTTTCTTTTCACACGGTCGCAGCTTGATGATGTCAGTGTCTGTAATCGGCCCCACCGTCTTCACAGGAGCATCCGCACCGTCCTGCAATACAGACCAGAATCCTACATCCCATAATCGTCAATGCTCTGAGGAAACCTACGAGTCTGTATGTCTAAAAACCCTAAAGAAACTCAGCTTGAGAGGTGAAATGATTATAAATTTCCTTGATCACATCAGCTTGCTTTTATTAGTTGTCTAATAAATCTGGCATTATATATTAAAGCAATAAGTCCCAAGAAGCCGTGGTTTACAGTGAATTTATAACAGCTAAGGGGCATTGTTAGGTATGACGTAAAACTAGATGTGTATAAATATATATCTATATCTATATATATAGATATAGATATATATATATATATATACATAGTTTTGTGGAGTGCCTAAAACCCCTTTAGCTGTTATAAATTCACTGTAAACCACGGCTTCTTGGGGCTTATTGCTTTTATAAAACAGTTATTCCATATACCGTACGTAGTACGGTTTCACAAAATAAAACAGAGCAAATAAAGTGTAATGATATTAATAAAAACAGTATTCTTCCACCAAACAATGTAACAGCTTCGAACGTGGCTCAGCCAATCAGAATCAAGGACCGGAACTATCTGTTTTATAATGTGAATATTGAGATAAACTGCTTAATCAGGGTCTGCACTCAGTTTGTGATATTCCTGCTATACAGTATTTTAGAGTAAACAGTAGGGATGCAACAATACAGTTAGACAACGGTTCAATAAATACCTCCGTTTTTGTTTTTTTTCACCACAGTTTTTGGTTTAGTTCTTTTTTGCTATTTTTAAATGCTATTTAAAAAAAAGTAGTATTATTTTTATGGATTGGCCATTATTTAGTGCTATGAACACATGTAATGTGTGTTTCATTCACACTGGACGCCTGAGGGCGCTCTCGCGCAGAAAATCCACATAAACATTACAGAAGAAATAGAACTCAGGACGCTCCAGGAAATCCCTAATATGGACAAAAACAGCCAGCTATTGCTGTAACTGAATGAAAGAAGCCAGAAACGCTTTGAATGGTGACATTGAAAAAGAACATTAAGATAATAAACACTGTACTGCGACGATGTTTATCTGTGTTCTTAAAACCAGTAGAGTATTTTAAATAGAGCCTGACCGATATGGGTTTTTTGGGGCCGATACCGATATTAATATTAGGGAGTAAAAAAAGGCCGATACCGATATATCGACTGATATTCTTTGTGTATATTATAGTACAGTACCAGTCAAAAGTTTGGACACTTTCCCATTCGTGTGTCCACACATTTGACTGGTACTATATATAGAATACAGTATATACATAAACAGAATATATACTGTATACATAAACACATTTTTTGCAATGATCACTCAAATGTGGTGATCAAACACTTAATGACGTGACAGAGATACGTAATGATGGAGGCAGGGCATTTAACAATTTAACAATAAACTTTATTATCCAAAAGGAGTCTGACATCAGTGCACTGAACAGTAAAGTTGAAGTTTATTCAACTTTAATTCAATTCAATTCCATTCAACTTTATTCCGTTGAAGTCTATTTCACTTCGGAACATTCATTCACAGATTTGCGCTACTGTCTTCACACACAGACGAAACTTACTAGAGAAGTGTGAAGTGTGACATAATATACCTGTAAATAAATATAAATTCACGTCTCGCGCACTTTTAATGCACTTTGAATGCAACGTGTACGTTCCCTTGGAACTGGAATCATGGCGGAATATCATGTGAAGTCCACTCCGCGGGGCACTTACGGTCGAATAAGACCACGCTTGAATGCTGCCTGAACAAGAGACCTCTTACTGAAGTGAAAGTGTTGACTGGTGTCACTATCTCGCGAACGCGCCGGCGGATCTCCACCAAATTCGGGGGATCCCTTCAGCTCGAGGAGCCCTATCGAACGCCACCCCC